TCTAAAATATATGTATACTACTGTTAATTATTTGGTGATATGAGTGGCTGAACTGTAAATTGGTGTGTCCCAGTGTAATACAATTGTGCATGACTACATCCGTAGACAAGTAGTCGGATTAGGGTTAATTGTGTGCACATGCAAATAGTGTATGTGAATTTGAATTCGGGGTTTGTTTATTGGTATGCGAATTTGCTATTTGTTCATGTTGTAAGGATGATACGCACTTCAAATATGAATACTACGTTTGAAGTTTAATTTGGAAAGGTTGAATTTGGTGATTTAGTTGTGAAGAATGTTTGCTTTGTACTTTTGGGGGATTTTGTAAGGGAATTTTTTGTTCGGTTAGTAGTGCAAGTCTCAGTAGAAATTTGTGAATGTAATGGGTGTCATAAGTGCAGTAGGGATGCATTTTCATATGTTTATTTCAAAAGTAACAAATTGTGCATATATGGGAGCATTTGGTGTGATGTTGTACTCCACGGGAATAATAAGTAACAATACTGTTATAAAGAAGAATGAATGTGCATATGAAATCTTAAAATGTGTGGTGAAAGTTGTATTTGTTTTATGTACCAGTGGAGTTAAAAAGGAGTTAGTAGTATGTGAAAATAAGAGACAACAATTGTGCATACTAGATCGACATAAGTGGAGTAGACATTATTTTGAAGTTTTTGCTGTAATAAGTTTGAGAATGTGCAAAAAAGGATCCATTTTGTGTACAATGGTATTTGAACTGAATAAAAACATGAGAAAGTGTAATAAACAAAAGTAAATATGCAATAAAAATTTGAGGGGAGGGAGGGGGTAAAGACTGTATATTAGATTCTCAATATAGATTTTTGAGTGTAATAAGTACAGTAGACATTTCCTTAGAATTTTGTTATACGAAGGATTAAATTTGTGCAGAAATGGGAGCAAAGCGTGAGATGTTACACCGCGTGAAAATAACAGGATAAGAAGCTTTAGTAAACAAGAGTAAATGTGCATTCCTAACTTAAAAAAGTGTATTTTAAACTCTAATGGAATTTTCTCAAAATACAATATTGGGGTATTATCTTTGACACAAAAGTGTTCTCATAATAGTGATTCATTGTGCATGCAGGTCATGAAGATGGAACGATGTACAGGGGGAAGCAAAACGAAAAGGAAGATGGTGCTCGTGTGGCTAGCAAAATGCAAAAAACTTCAAAAGAAGTTGCAAAAATAAATGAACACGTGCAAAGCCAAGGTAAAGTGGCATTGATATTCCAAAATTGTGTTACTTGGATTTGTGAATGCGAGTTTTTACATTCATACGTGTAAAGTGTTTAATGATTAACATTGTACAGGTACAATAGTGGTAAAAAAGGTTGACTTGAACAAGCGTGCCAAACATGTGTATTTGGTTTGCTCTGAAAGTGGAAATTCGTCACCAAGCCCACGTCGTAGTGGTAGGATTCAACAGGCTTCAGCTGCACAAAAAGTGGATGGTGAGCGTGGAACAATTTCTGGAGTGTTGCAATACAAGGAACAACACAAAGAGGTGGGCGGTCAGCTCATTGGTGACACTGTGATTCACGAGAGTGATGATGACTTTCAAGAGGCACCAATAAAAAAGACAAAGAGAGCAGAATGTAGTGTGCAGGATGAAGTGGTCAATATGAAGAAAAGAAAGAAGGGGAAAATTACGCTGATGAAGGAAGGGCTGCCAACACTTCAAACCAGATCATCACCAAATGTATTTGTGAGAGCAGTCAAGCAATTCAATGACAAGCAAAAGACTGAAGTTGAAAGAATTGGGTTTGGAAGCATGTTAAGGTTGGAAACACCAGAGATACCTTCAAAGCTGGCTTATTGGGTGTTGAAATCTTTCAATCCGAAAAACTGCAAGCTGGAAATACTTGATGGCAGTGTGCAAATCAAGGAAGAGGATGTGCAGATAGTGCTCGGATTTCCAAGAGGCAGTAAACCTATACAAAAAAAACATAGATTAGCAAAATGTGAGGTGCTAGATGAGTGGAGAGCACTATTTAAGAAGAATGAGAATCAGATTACTCCGACAGAAGTATGCAAGGCGATGTTGGAGTGTACTGAGGGTGGAATATGGTTCATAAGGCATTTCTTGGTCCTGCTCGTATCTGTGGTAATCGATAGCTATCAAAATGGCTATGCCAACCATCAAATCATAAACAATCTCGATACGATAGAAGGAATAAAGGATCTGAATTGGTGCGAGTTTGTGTTGTCTTCATTAATTGATAACAGAGAGGCATGGGAGCATAACAAATTCAAGATCTTCACCGGACCAATATTGTTTTTAATGGTAAGATGCAATCAGTTAATATATAATGAAAATGTGTACTGACAAAAAAAAATGCAGGTTTTTTATGCAGACAGAGTGGTGCTTTCCAAGAGGGCATTCCCGAGGACATTTCCAGCAGTTGTTGGATGGACAACAAGTCAGTTGAGAGCAAGAGAAAATGCAGAGGTTAAGGGAGGAGGATTTGGTTTGGGTTACATTGATGAGCAGATGAAGATGGAAGAGAAAAAGGGAAGAGAAGAGATGGGAAGCAATGACAGAGGAGAGCCTGTAGCGGGGACTAGTGCACAAGTACGTGGCGTTGACGAACAGGACACATGTGAAGAGGTAGAAGTTGTGATATTGGCAGTATATATTTTACATTATGTAATGCATTTTGAAACATGAAAACTGTTTATGTGTATTTTTTGACAGGATGTCATTGTCAAATTGGAGGCTAAATCTGACATGTTAGCCTCGATAGCAATTGAAATGGTGAGTTTGATTGAACAAGGGCCAAGTGATCTTCAAGTGAAAGAAAATATGATCAAAATTGTGGAAGTAGCGAAAGTGCTGATTGGATTAGCACAGAAACAGACAGAAAGCCGAACAGAGACACCAAGGCAGCTAGATGAAGATGAGATAGCGGACCAATTGTTTTGGTCAGATCCTAGGACTTTATATGCACTAGAGGAGGCTGAAAGAGATGAGTTGAAAAGGGTTCAGAATAAACGCAGGCTTGAGGATATTCCTACCTTTAGCTTAGGGTTGACACAGGCTGAAAAAGAGAATGAGGAGGGGAGAATGTTGGAAAACAATATTCACAAGAACAATGCAGAGGTACACTATGTGGTTCACACAAAACCCAATAAAGAGGTAAAATTGTAATTAATTATTTGTTTGTGAAATGTGAAATACTTAAAGAATCGATTCATTTACAATTTTTTAAATAAACAGGGGGACACTGTAACAGTTGATGACAGACTTCGAAGAAGGCTCAAAACAGCGGTTGTTCATAAATCACCATTCATTAGTAGAACTGTTGACCCAAATGAAGCATTTTCGGCGGTAGAAAAGGCTATTTGGTCGTGGATCTTACTGGATTCTGTTGGGGACAGGTAAGAATAAGAAAATATTATAAATTGTATAATTTGTGACATTTGGTTAATTAAATGTGAGACAAATTTAAAATAAAATTGTAATTGGAAAAATTACTAAATGTGAGCAAATTTTGCAGTGAGGTGGTGGTTTTTAAATGCAAGGGATTGAGTGTGCCAAAATCTGGTTTCAAATGTATGAAAGGGAGTGGACATATTCAGAGTGTTGTACTGAGGACTTGGGCCACTGTGTTGAACAGCAGAGAAGAGCACAAGAGTGATGATTCACCGTGTCGGATTTTCACAAAGCCCTTTCCTTGCGTAAGTACACGTTTTCACAAATATTGAGTGTGGTAGATGTATTACTAACAACGTAAATTTTTTTTAAAAAATCAGGTGTACAGCACGAACGGAAGCAAAATGACAACGACCGAACGCTTTTTACTGTTTGGAGAAGGCATGGAAGAGGCTTTGGATGTGATGAAAGAGTTTGTTAATCTCAGTGACATTGACATGGTAATTTTTTTTTGTCAAACTGTATGCATTTGAAAGAAAGCGTAATTAGTTGTGGGGTATTGCTGTTGTGCAGGTTTTTGTGCCCATTGAGCAGCCTAACCATATGTACGTTGTATGTGTGAATCTGAAAAACAAAAAGGTTGAAATACTGGATAGCTCATCCGCCAAAGGAGATAGATATGGTCAAATGGGAGAAATTGTTGTAAGTAAAATAAATATAGAAATGCATATTTATTACTAATTCCAAATAAATTACACTTAATGCAATTGTGCATTTATGCAGCGAGATATGCTTCTAGAGTATGTGAAATATAGCCCATTGGAGACAAAGGCCGCCATGCTCGAAAGTGTTAAACCAAAACGTTTGGTCATGAAATGGAGGGATGCCAAAAACAGTGATGATTATGGAATTTACTGCATGAGGCATATGGAGACGTATAAAGGCGAAGGCGTACAAGGTTGGGAGTGCGGGCTGGGCAAAAACGACAAGAAGAAGATTGCATCACTCCGGTTTAAGTATGTTGCTGCTATGCTTTATGCTGATGCAAACGAGCTGAAATTGGAAGTTTTTAATCAGGCACGTGAGTACGGCAAGAAGAAAGAAAAAGCGAGAGGGAAGAAACCATGACCATGAGAAGGGCTTTAATTTTTAATGATGTGGAAGGGCTTTAAAATCATGTTCAAGATGACTTTGTTGTTTTTATGTTTTTTGGATTTCAGTACTGTTTAGTTTTTGTTGAATTATTGGATTGAATATTGTCAAAAGTAGTTGAATTATATTTATTGACCACAAGAGAAATGCCTGAGTAAGTGTAGATCTTATTGTGCTGCACAGATTCCAAAATGTGTGTTTACAGCACTGGTTTAAGTATTACATATGATATTTCAAAGGTTACTACCGAAGTATCCGAAAATTGTTTTAAGTAATGTTTTTTAGAAATTTATTCACTCAATTGACAAAAAAAATGATATTGTGAATCAGACGTACTTATACACAAAAATTATTCAAGATGGATGAATTGAAGTCATCAATTATTTATTGTTAGATAAGGAATTGAAGTCACGCGCTAAAATAAGCATTGAACGACCGAAAATATTTAAAATAATGCAAATGTGCACATTCACTTAACAATTCAATATTATCTGGATAAACGTTCTAACGTTACATATAAAGAGTTAAAAAAAGTAAAAAGAGAAATGATTAATCAATATAAAATAAGAATTAAAATGACATTGTTCAACTTATTTGTTTTTGTTTAAAGGACAATTTCTACTATCATGATTACACATTTCATTACATGACCTACACAATCTCTTTGGTTTCTTATTTTCTTCAATTGACGCCTCCCGTGCACCTTTTATTCTCCGACCAGATCCTTTATTCTTGGCCTTTTGAGGAGGAAACACACTAACTTCAGCAGGCGTACTAGCTCCATAAAAATCCTGAATCATGGAATCCTTGGTTGTGGGAACTGAATCAGTCCGGTCTGCCGACATAAGCTCATTCTTTTGATGCCTAATAACAGTTGCAAATTGTTTTAATCTCGTTGCATCTTTTTCAGCTAGAGCAACACAAGAGTGCAAATCAGACCACACATGGTGCAAAAGTTTTTTCTTCTCTTCAATTTCAATGCACTGTTGAACAACAACATCTCCTATACCATGTACAGGTTTCAGAAGACGTTTCTTACACCATCGAGATACGACATAATGATGAGGAATAGTAGTAAGCTTCAAATATTTGAAAGCAACGAACATGTGCCTACAAACCAACCCCATTCGGAGAAAATATTTGCACTCACAAAACGCTTTGACATCAGAAACATTGAATTGTACCTTGAATGTCATACCATGATCATCTTTAATTACATACTCCACATTCTCTTCATTCTCATGCACATTAAGCACATGACAACTAAAACAAGCTGATGCAATCTCCTCTTGCACTAAATAAAAAATTGTTACCGTATACATCTCTGAAGCATGCTTTTCAATGGCTAGGGGAGTCTTAAAAACAGGAATGTACGCATCAGAACTTGAATTTAGCTTATCATTATTATGCCGTTGAGCATCCATTGCACTTTCAAATTGCATGTAAAATTCAATGAGACTAAAGTGAGGGTTAGTAAACTCACCGAAGAAATTATTTTCACTTTCTGACCGTGACGTTGTTCGAAGCAAACCAGCCATGAACAAATCCCTAAAATAAGAAGGTATCCAAAACTTGCGAAGATTAAACAAGTCAACAAACCATTGGTGCTCCAAGAGGTCATAATCGGTCATAACAGATTTCCATTTTTCCTCAAAAACAGAAGGCTCAAGGTAGTTACTCCAAACAACACTATTAATCCTTGTCAAAAAATCAACATCCTTACTAAGCACAGGGCCCACTTTAGTAGTCAACTTGTTCATTATATGCCACATGCAATAACGATGTTTTACATTAGGAATTACCTTCTGAATAGCAATGCGCATGGCTGGATCTTGATCCGTTATTACGCACATTGGTACACTACCCATTGCATCAATAAACCGTGATACAAGCCAGACGTATGACTCTACATCTTCTTTTGACAATAAACCAGCAGCAAAAGTGACACACTTTTTGTGATTGTCAACACCGGTGAATGGCACAAAAACCAAATTATACCTGCAAAAGCATAAAACAAGTGTTTAGCATCGTAGGTATTTTATAGTGCAACCTGAAATACAAATCATGATGAAAGAAATACCTGTTCGTACGGAACGTCGCATCAAAAGAAACCACGTCTCCAAAATAAGAATAATTTCGCCTACAAATTGGATCCGCCCAAAAAATCTTGGTCAACTGATCATTCTCATCCACGTCATAATCAAAGAAAAATGAAGAGCACACTTCAACCTTCCGAAATAGCTTATCAATCAACATCTGTGCATCAACACCCTCAATGTATGCCCTAAGATCTCGTTTGAAATTTTTGAAATCGACAGCAGTTGCACCAATGTTGCTATATCCACCTACTGACTCCTTAAAGAGTTTATAAGACTTCATCGGACCAATGTTTGCTTTAGCACAATTGATGATGAATTTCTTATGACCAAAATCAAGGTTTCTATTCACCTTAAGGAATTGTTTATGCATTTCTTCAAGCATACGATGACAGTGACGTTCTTCAAACTTAAATACAAAGTAACGACCATACCCACAATATTTAAACACAACACATGCTTTGCAACCATTTCTGGTAGATACACGACGCCTTTTATTTGACTCATCGTCTAAAGTGCAGTGATTTGAAGGTGCGGGTGACGTGAGATCAGAATCTTCCACACACAATGACACATTATCATCAATATCAGAATTATCCATGCATGGATCAAGAGTATTTTCCAGATTAGCATTTTGAAATAAATCATCAACAGTGGGAATAGTCCCTTCATTCTGCACAACCTTGTCAGGTTTAAAACCTTGACGATTACAAACAACATATTTGAATAAAATCAAACCAGATTTGTGCTTCCTTTGGGAATGAAGCCGGGGATCAAAGCCGCATAAAGATGCATATTCATTGTAGAAATCAATACCATGTTGTAAACTAGTGAATACCATACCAACAGCGGGCTTCCTATCACTTTGACATTCTGGAATCCAATACTTAGTCATACCGGGAGAAATTTCACAATGACTTGATTCTCCTACGGTAAAAGACAAAAAATAGTTGTAGATGTGCATCTCATGCATGCAACATATGCATGAACTAGTGAAACGTGTGAAACTAAAATCCAATACAGAATACAAAACGAGTTAATATTTCTTGTTATAAAAGATTATTTTTTACTGTAAGAAGTCATGTATTACACGGAAACATGTTTTATACAAAACATGATCTCAACAATTATAATACATACGTAGATCAAAATTATAGTAGAAACGTAAATTTGGAAGATAAAAACCTGGTTCCATGGCTTCCTTCATCGTACAGTACACACGCGACACCTTCCAAATGGAGGCCAAGACGATCGTCGAGCAAGACGCTATGAAGAACGAAGAAGAGTTTCAAAAAAAGGAAAAAGATGTTGTTTCTATAATTGGATAACCTAATTCACGTAAGAAATAAAATCAAATAAGATGGAAGTTATTCCTTCCATCAATGCCTCGGACGAACGAATTACTCCAGAGTCGGTTACAAAAACGGTGCTTTTTGATAGAGACTAAAATAGCCTTCGCTGCCAGTTAATCGATCGATGATCTGCCTGAGATTTTTGATGGCCTGGATTTGTTCTCACATCTCATTTTAAGGAGTGTTCTCATTAGAATCTAAATCTATATATATATATATATATATATATATATATATGGTGAGGTTCAAATAAGAAGAAACCTTTAGGTGAGAAATGAGAATGAATCTAAGTCGTTAGATTCAACTAAATTGCAGTAAAAGACACATCATGCTGCACTAAAATATGCAATTTAGTACGGTGACATTTTTGTAAATACTTCTTAAGTTTCCGTATTACACTTGTCTAGTGCAACATGAAACTGTTTTGGTGCAACATCATCAAATATTAGTGGAGCTCCGTCAAACTGGAGTACATCCGTAGTACACACTTGGAAACAAAAATAAAAATAAAAAGCAACCTATTGACCATTTAGACGTGACAATAATTCAATATATAAACTAAATGACATTATGATAATTAATTGACATTCAACCTTGTAAAAAGAAATTGTACTAGTGGTGTTGGTGTGTGTGAGTGCTTGGTGGTGTAGCCGTGTAGGATATGAATTCCCAATGTAAATATCTTATTATACGGTAAAAGAAAAATGTAATCCGTAAAACGTAATAATTAATGATATGAAGCATGGTATAAATTTTATGGATTAATAATTTAACGGGACACTGATCCGGACCTGTTTTTCCGGGTTTGACCCGGACCGGAACACAGAATCTAGAAGACATTCAGCTCAAAATTCGATCGGGTAGGCTGTCAAAATAATCTTTTAAAGTTGACTGCGTTTTCTATGTATAATTTTGCGCAATCAACTTCAAAAAATTATTTGACAGTCTTCCCCATCGAATTTTGAGCAAATTTTTGTGTGTGGATAAACTATACTTGAAGAGGAACATGCTAAAAAAATTTCACCAAAAAATTCATCTGGAAACTGCCCCAAACAGCAGTGTTCGGACAGCATTCAGAGAGAGAGCTTGGTTCAAATAACACATACTCACTAGGTAAAAAATAAGAACTAATTTTGGTCATTGATGTGATAAAATGTATGAAAGACATCATTTAAATACATCATTGTCCTTTTACTAAATACGGAGTAAATCTTAACCAGTCACTTTCATTATAGGCGGGGAATAAGATACTGCAAAGAGCAATATACTTGAGTAAGAAAAATAATATAGTACCCACGCAAGATGCAACTTAAGGGGTTTTGATATTTTGTCACAATCTCACATTCTCACCGTTGATAGAAATGATGAAGAGTACGTAGTAATAAAAAACCTTATAACGTTGATCGTGTTCCACAGGGGCATAGAAGCGATCTACCAATATTCATGCTCCATATTCCTCAAACTAGTAGACACAAAAGTCGGTGTTATTATCATCTATGTTGCACGGAAACGTCAGATTCACGGGGAAAAGTGAAACGAGAATCATCAACTGTTTGGAGAATTTTCCAAATAGTTCCTATAGAGTTTTCAAAATGGAAATGTATTCTATCTCGAGAATTTTCTTGATTCATTTACACCCCAACCTGCATGGCTGCATTTTAGTAACTCAGTCGGTTTAAATGTGGAAATGCAATTGAACATATACTTCTCTATAATTCTTATTACACCCTAGAATAATGATTGAGCAATAACTTGAAGCAAATAGACAACTTACTCTACAGAGTACAGAGTAATGCTCTTATGTTGAACTTGGCTACAAGTCTAGAACAGAATTTGCACTCGGTAATATCATCAAATCCATATGCACTTGCATCCCAATATTTAGATATGCACTGAACCGACAAATTTCAACCTGAAAGTCTATTCAAAATACGCAACACAAATATATGCAGTCTACCTTGTACAAAGCCGAACACTAAAATGCATCGCATGTCAGTAAACTCGAGCAATCATTATTTGATAGCGAAAAAGTATGGATACACATACATGCACACACACTTAATATTATTAATGGGGGCAACACTATATCTTGATATTCCAAGAGGGCAATCATTTATATTGATTAAATCTCTTGAGATACATACAATAATAATAACATTAGTTGTCCCACACAAAATCTAGAGGGGGGCTATTCAAAGCATATGTAACAACAGACTAAAATTATACACGGTGTTCGGAGAAGGTAAATGAGAGCTAATTTAGCTTCTTAGTCCCACATTTCCTAGAACGTCTTAACTTCTTGATTGAGATGAGGCTCTCCACGTAATATATAACGCCATCCAACTGTTTAATCCCAATAACCTTCCTTTCTTTTCTTTGCGGGTCATACAAGAACGGCACATTTGGAGTATTCTGCACTACTATGTGACCATTTGGCAATCCCCAATGATGTGAAATTAGAAAATCCATCATAAATGTGGAAGTTTTGATCCAAATACCCGCTCCACTTCTTTCACCTTCCAGAATCCATAACTGTAGGCATTTGTTGGGTTCAAACTGCACGCCGTAAACTAGTAATCCGAGACGGCCTCTAAAGTTTATGGCACTATAATGCTCTGATTCTAGAGTCACAACATTAGGGACTGCAATTCGTCGAAATACCTCCCTACGCAAGTCAAATGATGCTACAAAAGGTTTCTCGTTTCCGTTACCCTTTTTAACAAGCCAATAAGTAAATCCAGAGAGTGCGACATCACAGCTTGTCCTGGTCGTTATATTATTCAAAGGGAAATCAATCTTGACTTCTTTCCAAGAATCGGAATTGAGCGAGTATACCTCTACCCTAGTAGATGCCACTTCAATATCAGCACTAGAGTTTAGTACCCTTACAACCTTATAATCATTAGAATGAGGTTCGTGACCGAACCCAAAAGTTACTTGGACCCGTTTCTTGTCTCCAGCATATACAGAACTCTTCGGGAGGCTCCTGTGTTGTCTAATTGAAGGATTCCATAGGAAACAAGACCTACCTAGTCCCAAACAAGCAATACAAACTAGCCCATTAATGGAACCCACGACAAAAGCCCCCAATTTCTTGAACTCGTCAACTTTAACCAGGATGTTAGGATTTCGGATAGTACAGAAAATGTTAAAAGGGAATTTTTGGTTCAAAAGGAGAAGATAGTGGCTTGTCGGGTCAGAAATAGACCGGGTCAGTTGCATTGAAGCAAACCAGCGGCTGGAAATCAAATCGCGCCAGCATTTGCAGACGCTCTTCAATCGCAGAAGATGCCGGACGGAGAGACGCGAGAGGATGTCTCCTACAACCTCTTCCGGCAGATCAGCGAAAGTGGGTTTGAGCCTTTTGCATCTCATATTATCAAATTTTACAAGTCAAAAAACAGCATCAAGTTGCCTCTGGATGAGAAACAACAGTTATGGGGATTTCATAAATTAGCTTGAGCACAGTGACAGTACCTCAGAATCATCTGTCTGGCCAGAGAGTGAATAAAGCTCGATAACCTTGTTTCTCGCCGGGCTACCTTGACTTCCTGTTTCAGGCCTTCATATCCATTTTTTAAGGAATACCAAGTAGTAATAAAAATGAGGGAAAATGGACAAATAAGCTTATAAGCCCTCCTACTAACCAAAAAAAATGCAAATCGTCGCTTATATCGGAGACTTTGTCCGGTCATTGCCATTTGGGGCGATTTTCGGTGGATTTTTTTGATAAAATATTTTGAACATCTTTTTCATTAAGTCTAGTTTAACCATACCAAATTTCAGATAATATTTCAATCGGGAAGACAGTCAAATGAATTTTTGAAGATGACTGTGCAGTTAAATATTCTAGAAAATCATTTGAATGCATTCCCGGTTTTATTTTAAGCTGAAATTTGGTATAGGTAAACTAGACTTATTGAAGAAGATGATCAAAAAATTTCATCAAAAAATTCCACTGGGAATCGTCTCAAATGGCAACAACCAGACATAACTTCCTATATAAGGGGTGATTTGCACCTTTTTGGTTAGTTCGATGGCTTATTTGCCCTTTATTCGTACGATCTTTTACCAATTGTTTTTTACTACTAACTACGTAGTACAAGTCCGTATACCGTGGTACCACACCACGGTGAGGACCGTTCTCCCACACCTAAAACGACGTAGTTTCGCACAATTATTTAAAAAAAATCGTGTGAACAGTACACGCGTGTACAGTAAATTTTTATTTTTATTTTTACCTCAGTAGCATGAATGATGTAACTTGTGCATAATTAGATATAACTCGTGTTGTTACAAATGTAACTTCAGCTTAGAACAAATGTAACATGTGCCCAGAAATGTAACTCATGTTTAATGAAAAAAGGAGTCTAATTGTCCAATTATTTTACATAAATACTGCACAAGTTTTGTTTTTAATATCAGGGTTATAAAAATAATTTTTTAAATGATTTTTCTTTGATTCTTTGAATAACAATGGCTTATTATGTTGTGTATCTCACGTTATATTGCGGTGTAACTCGCATTATGTAAAATGTAAATCATGTGTAAATAGGATGTAACTTGTTGAGAAAAGTTGACATGTAACTCACGTTAATAGATATAATTTTAGGCAAATCCGGATGTAACTTTAGTGTGTGCAAGATGTCAGTTGAGAAAGCTAAAAATAATTCATTGCAATAATCCTGATGTACTAATGAATATACTCTGTTTCAATAGGAAAAGCTTATAGTTAAAGGATTTATGTCGATTCAGAGTTGTGCGTGGTGGAGGAAGCGTGGCTATTTCAAGGACACATATTTCAGTTCTGGTGCAGCAGCCGGCAGCCGGAGAGATGGTGGGAGCACCAAACAGTCTCGTTGAATCACCTTAGGGTTAATTAAGACATTCAAATTGAGGCCATGGAAGATGGCAGATCCAACCATGGAAAATAGCTATTTGGTCGTCAATTGCTCAATCGAAATTTATCGGAGATGCTCACCTTCTCTTCTCTCTCTGGCGCTGCACATGGAGAACCTATTCCAACAAAGTGCAGAGCCATGGGAAACGGGAGGGGTGCAAGTTCTCTCCTCTCTTTTTATCCCAAAACGATGCCGTATTTGACCGGGCATACCATGCGCATGGTATGCCGGTCGTACGATATAATTTGCCACGTAGTACTACCTCCGTCCCTTAAAACATTGCCAAAGTTGACCGGTACAGAGAATAATAAAGTAAAAACTGTGTGGTTGATGTTTGTGCAGAGGAGAGAGAAATAACAGAAACCACAAAATAATTGATTAAAAGGGAAAATGACAAAGTTTTTTGGGACCGATGGAGTATTAGTTAATCAATTCTATTGTAAATTAAAATATTTGCAATATAGAGCATATGACTCATTCTGTTAAATATTTATGAAATTGTACAAGTCATCATTTACCAATGTAACAATCTATCTTCTGTAAAGATTTTGGTTTCCAATCAAATTTTTTTTTTGATTTTCATCCATGCGATATGTACTATTTTGTTATTAGTCTATCTCTAACTCTTAAATCAATCTACTTAGGCAAAAATTTACTGTCAGTTGCATAAATCTACTAGAAAATTCAAATTTATCATTTTGTACTTTTTTAGGGCAATAAAAGAATTAAAACAATGTAAAACTAAGTGTTCACACTTTTAAAATTTGTATTAAAACCGTTCTTAAAAAATAAAATTCTTTTTGAATAATATGACAAAGATGATAAAATAAAATAGAATTTAGGAAGGGGTTTTTTCAGAAATATTACTAAAATAAAAATTATTTACACAAATATGACTAATAGTTACTATAATGTAATGTCATGGTAATGTAAGTTTAAAATTGAACATAACTTACTATGGTTTCATTAATCTTCTAGTCACTAGTCATGTTTATCTAAACCATCTTTATTATAGTCATAAATGTATAATTATTTCACTTAAGAAAACTATTAATCGAGTCGTTTCAATGTCAAACGACTCGATTTCATCGGTGATGGGCTAAACTAAGCCTATGATTTATGTTTCTAATCTTATCTTGAATTGGGCTTGTTTTATTTTATAACATGGCTCAAGCTTTCCCGATCATTTCATTAAATTATGACAGATCCGGAAATTTCTCTGTGAAATCAGGCAGCGGTTAGGCAATTCGGTCTATCACCACACTCTAGGTCTTTACTGAGTCATCATGCATTATCTTCTTTCTCCTCGAACGTTTCGTCTGTTTTATGACGATTTCATCTGAAGGTTTCATTCAGTACCCGACGATTTCGGGATCCTACATAAAAACTAGGTTGCAACTTAGCTAATTGATCCCATCTCCCTCCCCTTACATTTACTCGGTCAAAAGGGTGCAAAAACGTACAAAAAGATAATTTGCTACATAATTAACTCTCACAATTGACGATAAAAAAACTCACAATTATAACATTAAATGCAATATTAATTATTCAAATAATTGCTCCAACACCCCTCTTTTGAAAATTTGAAGCATATGGTGGCTTATGTGAAGTCATTAAACAACTTTTGGAAATTTTGTAAGGACTTGTAGCACACATCCTTGATTATTGCGCTTGTCAACTCATCATCATTCTGACGGAACGTGCCTGTTCATCTGTCACCCATTTGAGGAGACGCTTCCGTCACCTTCCTCGCAAGTAGCTTCTAAGCGATCTTGTCTCTTTGACTAAAGCAATAAAGAGCAAATCTCAAGATCTTGTCTTCCTTCAAAGTTGTGATAATGATTGGGCGTTGGCGATTTGGAATTTCGTCCATGGATGTTGACACTAGTTTTCAAGGGTGACTTTGTCCCTCGTTCAACAAAAGAAAGGTTCGACTCCAAGAGTTTGACGGATATCCAAAAAAAAACTTTAAACATTATTTGGTTTGTATTTCAGTAATATTGTCAATCTAAACAAGAATGCTTAAGGTTCATGTCAATGTCGTTCGTGTCACCTCCTTCTGTGTTGGAGTTTCTCGTTGTTTTCTGTTATGTTTTTGAAGCATATCTTTCTGTGGTGCGTTTTTCTGTATAATTTTGGGCAAAACGTTGTAGAGAATCAATGGTGTTTGCACTCATGTTTAGAAGACATGAAAACCCCAAATTTTCCCTTACAATTATGTAAGCCCACGTCATGTGTGTTTAAAAGTATTTGTAAGCCTTTGCTCAATGTGTGTCGACGCATCACCATTGTCCATTGTTGACTGTTCATGTGCAAAAAAAATCTTAGGCTAGCCATTGGCTATAAGCCAAAAGCCCTCTGATGCTTAAGTTATTAATCATTTATATGTAAAGGAAAGGAAAAAAAATGTAAACGAAAGCAATAAATTAAAAATGAAACAACTTTATTTAAGGGTAACGTATTGCAACTTCTCAAATTCTATCGATCGTCTTGAGTTTCCAAGCAACATGTCACCTATCTAATGATTTTGTGTAGTCTATCTCGTCACAGAAGTGACAACTCGTTCTTCGGGTCTCGAATAGGGTGTCTCAGAGTTGTAGTCTTGCCTCCTAGCAGAGTTTGACTTCTCATGCCCCCTTTAATACTCGAACTACTTGGGTTGGGATCGTAAGTATTCCTCTCTAGATGAAAGAAAGCTTATGTCTTTGCTTGGACATCTTCGAAGGACCGCCATGAGAATTTTGTTAGTTCACGCTAGAGCTCCGAGTTTTCAAACACTCCTCTTCTGAATGCTTCAAAAGTGGCAAGGACGTTACATCTCGAGATCAACATATTCCTTTTGTTGAATATGTACAGATAGTCTCTAAGGAGTTCACCTCGTCACTGCATAATTCCGTAGATGTTGCTGGTTTGCCTCTCCAACACCTTACTACTTGTGAACAGCTGATTAGAAGGATTGACAAGTTCGGCAAATAAATTAATGTCCCGACTCGGAAGATTCATGAACCATGTCAAAACAGGACCCGTCAATGTCGCGCTGAATCCCCATCACATACATGCCTCTGTTTGTTCATGTCTGACGAAGACGACTATCATCCTTTGCTTGTACTTTGCGACAAGTACCCCAAGATCTAAGGTTCTGTCAAATGGTTCCATGCTTGGTAAGTCAAAATTGTTCGGCATCTCTACATTGGCGATTGAAGCGTCGAAAGGCAATCTGTCATAACATGTTTGAGATGCAACATTAAATGGAGGAGGGACATAAGGAATTATGTTGATTTTCTCATACATTTGTCGTAGTTGTGCGGATATGACTGCCATGGGATCCTCGGTACTATTCATCAGACGTATGACAAGTTTCGTCATAAGGTCGTCTGTATTCTGTATAGGTCTGTATGGGTACATTCTAGTCTAGTCAGAGAAGGGATCACGACGACTTCATGATTCTATCGATTATGAGTGGGAATGCGAAGAATGAAAGGTTCTAACAAGACGAAATGACATTCTTTCAAAAAAAAAACAAGACGAAATGACATTGGACATAGAAAGGTTTTGAGTGACGAGTTGTGTTTTAAAAGATCTATTGCTGACACTAAGAGAAGCCGAAAAGTAACACTTTGGAATAGTATAAGCAAATGTGGATATTGGGTGCGAAGGGATATAAGGTATAACTTGAGATACCATCGGAGACTCGGGTTTT